GAAGAGGCAACACCCGCGAAGGGGCAGCACCCGCGAAGGGGCAGCACCCGCGAAGGGGCAGAACCCGCGAAGGGGTAGAACCCGACAAGGGGCAACACTCGCGAAGGGGCGACACCCGCGAAGGGGCAACTCCCGCGAAGGGGCAACACCCGCGAAGGGGCAGCACCCGCGAAGGGGCAACACCCGCGAAGGGGCAACACCCGCGAAGGGGAGAGGAGAGCGGGAGGGGGGGGGGGTACTCCTCGAGCACCCCCCCCATCCCGCTATCGGCCCTATCTGTAGATTCGGTCAGAAAGACCCAGCCAAGTACCGAACATTAGCTCCGAGCTTAGGTGGGGTGGCCCTTGAGCATCCACTCCACCAAGTTCAAGTCGTGATTGTTCATAGAAAGCTCCGGGTGTAGCGTGCAAAGTACGGGCTAGTCTATGTCTCGCACCGAGATGCTGCTCCCAGTACTGCCGCATGTCTGCCGCTTGTGTCTCGAACTCTGCGGCCATTTTGGCCGAAGCTTCCGCCACCTCTTCTGCCGTTGGCTCCGGCATCGCTTTGACCAGAATGTGCTATCTATGCTGCAGGCGATGATCTCGACACGGACTACTGATTACTGTACAAGATCCTGTCACCAGTTGCACTGCTACACCTGCTGCCATACTGGGATAAGTATGCGGCGCTGATCTGTTTGCGGCAAGTTCGAGCCAATGCGAGTTTCAAGCAGTCCCAATGCAGGCACCTGACCGCGAGTGCACGCAGCGGGGCAGCTGGCTTGGTGAACAAACCATCCAACAAGCTCGAACATGGGCACGGCATGCATTCGCTCCCCACACGAAGGTCACTGCATGTGACGTTCCCTGTATACCTGCAGGACAGAATGCCTAGTAACCTAGTAGGCCATTCTCACAAGCAGGACCTGTTTGCGAGCATGTGCTTGCAAGCCTCTGTTATACAAAGTGCGGAGATCCCCACATAGCTGCTTGTGGCTGCGAAGTCCTGGGCAGACTCGATGGCCATGGCATCTAAGACGTGCGCGGTCTGCCTAGGAGGAAGCAACATGCAGCGACATATGCGGAGCCCCTTGCTTCATGACACATGTGTTTAGTGCCTGTTCACTGCAAGCAGCAACAACAGTTCAAGTCGAACCAAATAGCACTGCATCCGCAAGGATCACGAGTTCGCTACGTCATAACTGGACTCTGGCACTGGACTTTCATGATCTGCTGCGACGGTCAGCAATGCTGACAGAGAAGTTTTTCCGTCTAAGCGGAAATCACTTGAAGCATGGACTTGCGCAATTCTTGCCGAAGCTGTTGTTTTCAGAGACTGCGAGGTGGGCGCTCTCACAGGAAGTCGAGCCAAGATCGAACAAGGAAGCCGTGGCAAGTTGGGATGGCTCGGCTGAGGGTGCGACATGGAAGATGTAGTTTGCGGTGGCAACCATCCGCAGAAGGCCTTAATTCACGATGTCCGAAAGTGCAAGAGCAGCTGGCATTATACATCATGAGAGCTCCTTAATTCTCCTGAACGGATTTCAGAGACGTTTGCAAAGCTACAGATTCGACGGCCGGCGAGAAAGCCAGATAAGGTGCGCCGTGCACACCTAAATTAATCAAATCATGCCGCTTGCAGCTCCTCCCGGAAACTCTGTCCGACACTACACAGATGTAGCAAAAGACGACAAGCTTCCAGCTCTTGACACGGCTGCCGTGTTCGGATGCTGTCGAAGCGCCTCTTGCCACATCCAATACCGCATGCAACAGCTGAGCCACACAGTGTTTCCATCTTTTTGGGGCGGTGAACTCTGTACCAAATCCCGAATCTTGAAATTCTCGGCCCGGGCCTTCTGAAGCTTCTGCGGCTGCAAATGGCAGTGTTGCGGCAAGCGCAGCTGTTCCAACCTCTTCTCGAGTAGGTCAGTTTCGGAGTTTCGGAGCCTGAGACCCGTTGTTTTCACGAGAGGAGCATGTACAGATCCTTCCTTCTGTGCAAAAAACCCTGCAAGAGGCTTTCAAACCTCGAGCCTGGCCGGACCTGCCGGCCGGGAACGCTACTTCCAGTGGGATTTCTTCTTCTTGCAAAGGTCTTGTGCAGTGATGCGAGCAGTGCGTACTGGGGTCTGAGGATTCTGCCTCGGAGCTTCCCACATCAGCGTGGCCACCTCTGGAATCGGCACTTGGTGCGTTGCTCACTGACTCACCGAACCTCACCGACAAACATCTGACAGGATGGATGGGATGGAGCCTTCCAGACCATACTAATACGCACGCTTCAATGCTGCTAGCCACTTGTTGGATCCTTGCTCGGGATCCAGACCATCTTCTCGAGAAGCTCGCAGCCAACATAGTTTTCCGACATGCTGGACTGCAGGCTCCTCGGCTGACACAGAGTTTTGGGGCACGTGGCCAAGAAGCCTCCTGACCCGGTGAGGCGGCGGCGTCAGGTTGACGGCATGGAGCTTTGGCAGCAGAGCATTGGACATCGACCTTGGGTTCACACTCGGCCATTGTCCCCGGAATCTCCCAGGCTGTGTTTTTGCAGCCAAGCACATGGCCGATATTGGCGGGCAAGGGCAAGCTCCCGAATGAGGCTGACCTTGGACATCCCAATCTGCATCTGGGTCACACTTGAGCCAGACCTGTAACGAGGAAACCTTTGGCGCTGATGCTCAAAACCCCATCGTGGGACAAACTTTTTGAAGTGCCCTCGAAGAATCCAAAGTCACTGTGCAGAAAGTATGGCATGGCGGATTGACAACGTATCTGCGCAAACTTCATCGGCCTCTCAAACTTAAACCTTTTACAAAGCTTCACCGGCCGAACCGACATCCAATTGATCTCTTGCAGCCGGTGGACCATAAACCACCAGAGTGGGTCTTCTGTCAGTGGCTGCATCTCGCTTTCAGGTGATGGCGATTTGTTCTGCCACCTGCCAGCCGCCAGCCCAGACGCACGGAGGCACGAAAGCATTAAATTAGTAGCGCAGCTTTACGAGTCTGCACGGTTGCTATTTGCTTCAAAGCACGTCGACCGCATAAAACCGATTGACGCAAATGTTTTGAGCGTGCAGAGTTCTGAGCACTTGGCCAACCTGCTTGAGGCGGCTGCTGTGCCTGTCACAGAAAGACTTGGAGCAGAACGCGCACCTGGGGCTGTCCGTGATCCGTTTTGGAAGCTTCTCCAATGAGTCTCTGACAGCTTTGACAGAGCTCCGCTTGTCCTCTGCATCGATGCCTGAATCCGCGCGTCGTCGTGGGCACGGCATGAGAGTAGCGCTGGGGCCAAGGCTGCGGATTGAGGCCAAATGAAGTCGCCGCGCAAGGCTCTCTGCAGCAGCGGGGCCTGCAGTGCAAGGGAGGTCACCTTGCAGTTGGTCCTCATCGAAACTGGTGAGGAGCAGCTCAGGTCATGGCTAAGCCAGGCAGGGAACTGTGCCACCTCAGCTGAGCATGGAGCACAGCTTCAAGGTGAGTATTCTCATGACACATCGGAATTTCCGCTGCTCAGCAGATTCCCCATTTAGCTTGCAGCGGCATCTATCTTGCCAGGCGACATGCTGTGACATAATATGCCAATTACACATCAACCTAACTTGCTCTGCTATGAGCTCAAATGGGCTCAAAATCCGGCTGGGAGCAGGACCCGAGATAGCTCGAGTCGATTCCCACTGTGCGCCTTTCGAGGTCTTGCGCTTGGCTGGACGCACCCCGAAAGCTGTGAAGCAGCGTGGTGCCGGGACAATCTCCGTGTCAAACTGAGTATTGCATGAATCCACGTGTCGCAAAGGCTAAGGCTAAGGGTCGGGCGCTTGCATGGCACGTACGGCAGGTGGCAATGTACCTGCCCAAATCTATCGGCATGCCTGCAAATCCTGGAATCCTTGAATGAAAGCATCGGCGTGCAGGCTGCGCACTAAAATAACAAAACATTATCATGTGGCACATCCCTGGCTCTAGTGTAACGGTGAGGCACGATTATTTTTCATTGGTGTGGTGAAGATGAAGCCAGCTACACTCGATGCGATGCGAGCCACCTAAGCAAGTCTTGCGCCCCAAGAAAGGGCAGCAGCAGCTTGTCGCCTTCACCAGAAACATGAGAAAATCATTCATTCACACAAAAAGTCTGACACTGCATCGTTTTCTGACAAGCACATGCACTCCCTTTGAAGCATCTACTTCCAAGGTTGGTGTGCAGTCTGAAAAAGCTGGGTTCGACGGCAAGGCAATGACGTCAGAAACGACCGGTGCACATCCTCAGAACTCAAGGCTTTGGATCTGCTGAAACTTCTATAGCGTCCAAGCTTTAAAGTTGGTAGAGCATGTTGCGTGGGTCATGAGATCCAAGAACAGCACCTTGGGCGAAGTCTTCCGGGTGAGTCGTCGGTGCTGAGCCATGTCCCCCGGTTGCCATAATCCTCACCTTTAAAATGCACAGTGCTGAGTCACTTGTGCTCTTGTCTGTCTCGTGATCTGGAGCCAACTCTTCGAAGTGCCAGGCAATTCGGCTGCTTGTGCTTTTTCTGGCTGGGACTTGGGACCGTCGCAAGCCCTTGGGCTAAAGGCCCCTGGAGAGGAATTCCTGTGCACTGAGCCGAAAGAAGCATTCAGATGACCTGCCGGCAACAACACTCAGACCCAAAACCCCAAGAATCTCACTTGGACCTGTGACACGTTAATCTTCGTGTCCGTTCGACCGGCAAGCATGCCTGTGCCCAAGAATGAAACAGAAATCCCACACCATGGCGTGCGGTTTCTTATCGGTCGTTCTGGTCCTTGCCGAATTGTGTTTTGCCCTGTGGCTCGTTCAGGCACTGCCAGCTTGGTCTTCATGTGCATGCACGCACCCGGGAGACCATAAAACTACTGTCCAGTGTCACTTGAAACAAATAAGATCAAATAAGCAGTCGGCTCAAACGTCAGGAAACTTTGCGCTTGGATGGACTGTGGAAGGTGGACATGGCGACAGTTCTCTTCCCCCAGGAAGCCACGGTTTTGACCAACAGCCTCTCCTTGGATGGCAAAGACTCCGTGCAAGTCCTGGCCTTCAGTACAACATTCAAACCTACCAGGGACCTACCAGCACGACTGAAACCAATCAACTGACATCTTTCCCGACTTCTTGCTTAAGACTGGCTTCTCACGGAAAAAACCCTGCAAATTGTGGCCGTCAGCTTCGACCGCCTACAACAACTTAGGCAGTTCTGCGCCCTACGTACCATGCAAAGACATGCAAAGACCAAACAAACAAGCATCCGCAATTTCTGAAGAGGTGTGGTGTGGGAGCAGTGTGATGCGCGTAGGCGTGGAAGTTTCGGAATAGACTTGCCGTGGTTTGAAACTGAAGCCGAGAATTAATGATGTGAAGCTCGGGCATGGGAGACTTCGGAGTTCTGGGGCACTCGTACACCTGACAGCCCTCAAAAAACTGGAATAATCCCAGTTCAGGGATGTGTGCGCGCGCTTCGGTAGCTGTCCAAACGGTCTACATCCTTGCATGAAAGTAAAGCCTGCGTCGATTTTGTCGCATGGAGCTGCAAGAGACCGTCCTGCCTCGCTCAGCCCAGCTCCTTTCTCCTCGGCCATTGGTTAGGCACCAGACAGATGGTCTCTCAAATGCATTGCTTCAGTTCCCATACTGAGGTAGTACACGAATTAATCTCCCAGGACCGCAATGCAAAAGGGTGATGTCTCAAGAAGTCCAGCAGGTCTATGGAAATGACTGATGACTGATGATGCATCTACACCTGTAGCTAGCCAATACTGACTATTATCCGTCTCGCTATCACTCTCATTACTACACTACTCTCTTTCTTGCTTGCTTGCTTGCTAGGGGTGCGGAGGCCTTGAGGGTCTCCTGGCCCAGCAAAGTCTGCGCTGCCCCCTTCCGGAGGTGGGAGTTGTCTCGTGTTTCGCCGGATGTGCCAGACCACGGCGGATTTGCCATGTGCTTACTGCTGCAAGGGCGCACAAGGGTCATTCTCCAGTATTGTTCTTGCATCTTCTTAGTCCCACTACTCCTCTCACTTGTGGCCAGGACTTGCCATGGGTTTCTCGAGCTTGAATGCTGAGGCCCGAACAGCTCGCAGCGCCTCGTCGTAACAAGTCAAGGCAAGGTGTTGCGGTTTGTCTCTCGTGCTTCATCACGCATGCCCGAGCACCAGAATTGCCTGAGCACTCTTTTGCAATGGGTCGGCCATCCCCTGCTCAGACGGCTGCCTGCCGCACGGAATGTCCGGGTGCCAGAAGTTGACCTGGCGATGAATCTTTACCAGGCAGCTCCCACTGCTTGCCGACTAAAGCTGCAGATGGTTACCGAAGACATTCAGAATCGGCACAGGAGCTGAGTAGGAGGGTCAAACTGTCCATGTCCAGAACTCACTTGCGACTGCCGTCCTGATGAAGTCCCTAATTAACCCATGCTCCACGGTCTTCTGAATCTTGTTCCATCTGCTGACAGCTTCGCATCGCACCGGACGCGATCGTCGGAAAGGCAGGGGCTATTTTTCAGAAGGTCTTCGTGGCTGCGCGATTAGGTTTCCTTCAGAATTTGCACAGCTCTTCCCTAGATTCTAGTCCTCTGATATTAAACATCATGCTTGAAGTTCTTTCCTGCATCTCGCCTTTGAAACTTATTAGTGACTTTGCTTGTCCTGAACTCGCTTCCGGGGACTTTCTATCTTCCTGGATGCATCCTCCCTCGAGACTGGTGAACACCGTGGCGTCAGCAAAAAAAGGCCCCAGCCAGAAGAACAGTGCGTGGCTGGCTCCCTTCGTGCACAACCTGCAGGACAAAGTTTCCAAAGAGCCAAGAATCAATGTCTCTGTAGCAAATTGGAACGGAGCCTCGTGCTCAAATGAATCGTCGAATACAATGCACTTTCCGGTCACCCACTCGCCTCGGTGAAGCCACTGATACTTTCAAGCCCAGTTGCCAGAGCAGCTGCTAGATGGTCGGATGCAGCCGTCCCGACTTTAAGAAGGCAGCGGGTTCTGAAGCTCCAACTCTTGCACAGATTGCACCTGCGTGCCTTCTACGCCCAGCACGGTGCCGAGAGTCGCGCGAGACTCCCCCGCGCACGTGATCCTCGGCGAGGAAGCTCTGAGCCGAGCGCAAGCGACGAAAGAACTCTCAAAAAGTTCCTTTATACCCTACAAACTCGTCGATGCTTACCAGCGCGTCCAATAAGATGCCTACATTTGTTGGCGATGCTGCTGTCTTCAGTTTTCACTTGTGCAGATGTGCTCTGCGGCTACGTTGGCGAATGATAGCGGCTCTGTCGTCTTTTGTGCTGAAACTCGGCATAGGCATAGGGGGGGGCCTAGCGGAGACAGCAGCCTTCCAGAATTGATCAGGGAATAAGTGGGGGGCCCCTCCCGCTGCTGGCATATCAGGAGCAAGGGACCCCTAAACTCTTTGTTTGGGCTCAACCAAATCCGCAAACAACGCCCGCAAGTTCCACCTCTGCTTTCCTTGCATCGTGCTGATGCAAGAACGAGGCAGGCTAAAGCAAACAGAGATGTAGTATTATGGTCACCTGGTCTCGAAAGAGCCTCCGTGACGCAGTACGTAGAACAGGCGTTGTTCTCCGTGATCGCTTGACTGCAATATGGTCAACACTCGCTGCATCCGAAGCACCTGCAGCCCTCCGGAATGTCGAGGCCCAAGTGGCAGGTCAGTCGCATGTTCGTCGGCCTGTCGACGGCTCTGACAAGGCGGCCGCTGGTTTAGCAAACTGTCCGCAATCTACCATAGCATTCCGTTCAATTACAAGATCAGCGCCAGAAAGAAACATACACTGAGCTGCATTTGCAGCGCAAGCGATCGTCAAAACAAGACTGCATGACACACACGTCGCGTGAACGAAAGTACCCATGCGAGCCCTTCGGAGTTGTCAACTGCAGCATTGCCGTTTGGATATGCAGCAAACCTGAGGCTGCCAAATTGACTCCGACCCGATTCCCAAACAGCAACACGAGTCCCCATTTCGAATTATGAAAACAGGTCCCGGCCCGCAGTGCGGCCGCAAATGTGTACCAGGCTGGAGGCGAGAGAACAAAGACCTGGGTTGAGGTGAAAGCTGACCTCTATGCTGACCATTCTGTCCGCTCTGAGACTCTGCACCTCGGGCTCCCTGTCTCATGTCTGGGCTCCCAGAAATGCACCAGATCAGCTCGAGCTCTACTTTTCGGCTTACACCGTAGGACCCCGAAAGAGCTGTGCAGGCTTGATGGCATGGCATTTATTGTTCAATGCAGGGAAAGCTGTGCGAGCACACGCACATGCCTGCAATGCAGCTAGCGTGGCGAAGGATGCTTGCTTCTAAACTGGAAGGCCAATGGCACTTGAAAATTTGTGCACAGAGCTTGCGCGTGTTGCGCTCACTAAACTGTGCATTAATGTCCTGGTCACCTCCATATCTTTGGGAGGCGCTGGCAGGATCACAGAAAACTGAGGCGTGCAAATAAATCACGCAAGAAGCTGAGGTAAGGCTCTTTGAAGTCACGGCCATTGTCTGTTGGCCTGCTTGCAAGGAAGTCGTTTCCATCAAGTAGCTCCCCAATCTGCCTCTTGCAACTCATTCCTCGTTGCAATTCTCGAAGCATTGCCTCCCGATGGTCTTGACATGTCTTGACTGAAAGACTCAATCGCAACCCCGGCTTGACATGACTGAGAGCAAGGTTTTATTGTCAGCCACTCACAGGCTCTCAAACGGGGTGTTCCTTCTGCATAAAACAGGTGCCAACTCTTTTTACTCACGCAATCCTTCTGGGTATAGCCTGTAGCTGAATCGGACCGTCTGTCTAAGGCACGCCATCAAAGACTGGGCTCTCAAACATCAGCCTGCCTTGCACGCTGCACGACCTTGTCCTATTCCACAGGGGGCACTATTTCATGGCGAAGGAAGACTTGCTGATTCTACCTAAGGTCCTACCTCAGTCAGAATCCACTGAGCTCCGAAAAGCAGGACACGTGCGCCCTGCCAAACCCCTTGGGCGACCCGAAAGAACACAACTGCACGCGACCTTCAAGGGTCTCTAAGATAGCACATAGATCCCACTTGCGAGTAACTATTTGCACATGCGGCAAAAGCCGCTCTCGAAGCCAACCCAGCACGAAAAGGTTATCTTTAACAGGCATCATCGGTTCAACAAGAAGCTTTCGAGCAGCTACTGCAATACTTGAGGTCGTGCAGATGCAATTGGAGCGCAACGTCGCTCGCAGTCTACACAGGAAGTGCCTGGCCCCTCAGTTGCTTCAGTTGCCCTTGCCACCTCCCTTCTGCGGTGGCTTGTACACGCGACCTTCTGGGCTGGCGCGAAGCACCTGGGAAGAAACTTCCACTTGCAGGCCCTGTCGGAATAACCTGGATTGGGCACCAATCTGAGCCAGGCCTTGTTCCGCACTCTAACGACTCGTCCGTGGATTGCGCAGGAGACGCAGTACAGCATTTTCATGTAAAGCTTCGGCCTGGACCCGTCGAGAGAGGTGTTGAAGGATTCGGGGGACAAGTACATAACCGCCAATAACCGCCATGAAGGTGTTTGGACACATGCTGAGGCTGTAACAGCATGAAGCTTGAGTACCTAAGCGTACATAGCTCATCGAGACACTCTCCGTTCTTCGAGGAAGTGGCACTTACGAGCCAAGTAGCACGCTCGCCTCACGAAGGTCACGCTGCGATGACGCATCCACCATGTTCCTCACCTCACGGAGTCTCCCTGAAGCTCGATTTGCTGTTGTCAACCGGGTGTTGCACGCAGTTGTTGGCATTCGGGATGCAAACAGTGTGGCAGTTCGTAGCTGGTCATGAAGATCGATGCCACCCGGCCTGAAAGCGCTTGATGGCCTCGCATCAGTGTGTGCAAGCTACACAAAGCTATCTTCTACCTATCACGCCTGCCGCTCGAACCAACTACTTCCCAAAAAACACACACCTGCCTTGTCCTTGGGCACGCAGCGTGCGCAGTTGGAGCAGCGGACAATAGCTGTGTGTCCTAAGCAGCATTCCAAGCTACATGTCTGAGGGCAGACCTTTTGGCTCAGAGCCATGTACGCCCGATTTGCCAGCAAAGCATCCGCGACCGTGCTTGGAGCGGCCATTGTTGCGACGCTTGGATGGCATGTTTACTGTCCCCTGCTAGGTCGAGCCAGTCGGTGCTCCCAGAAGGACTTGCTGAATCCTGAGCCAAAAATCAGCGGCATCGGCCAGGGCTTGTCTGGCAATCAAGATCTCCACCGTGTGTGCGAATCTCAGCAATATTTTTTGCAGACACTCCAGAACTGACTCGTCTTGGCTCAAACCAGCAGTTGCCACCTGCAATGCGTGTAGGAGCATTGCCGGAGCTGCCCAGGCATCAGGCAGCCATGCTCCTGCGAAAGCTGATCACGGCTCGGAACTCTTCCCAAACCTACAGAGGGAAAAAACCGTTTCAGAGCCGCGAAGGGAGGCCAGTGCAAAAGACTGCAGACTCTCGTAGAGGGTGTGCAGAAGTCCTGGTGCCTTTCGCCTGCCATCGGCGTGCTGGGCGGGCCTCGCAGCGCGTGCGACGGAGGCTCGGCAGCGAACTGTTGAGAGAACGAGTGTAATGGACACGCAGCCCCAACGCGTGCCATGGCTGTGGGATGTCGAAGTGTTCCAACACATGATCAAACATGTCAGCAGTTCCTCGTTTGCCCAGAAACAGGTGGGGTGAGGGCTGCGCGGACCGGAGCTGCATGAAGACCGGGGGGCGGATTTAGGTTCTAGTTTCAGTCCAAAACCTCTTAGAATTTAGACCCTTTTCCAGCGGGCTTGCCTCTTCGCCCGGGAGCTCCCAGAACGTGTGCCCAAGCAACCCTCTAAACCCCTGGCCGTCATGCCAGTCGCTTCAATCGCTCTTGCCACACATCTAGATCCTGAAACCTGGACCCTTAAACTGGGTAACTGGAGACCAGGAGCTCCGACTCAGCCGAATCTTGGTGTGTTCCGGACTCGACTAAACTTCTTGGCAAGACCTGGCCTTTGTGGGTGGATCTTCGGCCTCGCACACATCGAGACTCTTTTTCTCCTATCTGGCTGATCCCTTCGACCATAAGATCAATAAGTTGCCGGGGCACTGTTCGAGGCAGGCTCTGCTGCTTCGGCTCTGCTTCCTCCGCTGCCTCTTCAGACTCCACTGGTATCTAAACCGGTCTGCTGCAGGAGCTGAGGTCAGTAAAACAATGATGCTGCTGCTGCTATGCCGACCATTACTTGAGATCCACCTTCACACCAGCCGGAGGTCGTACGCATCGGCGGCTCAAGAGGACCTGATCTGTACATGCCTGAATTTGAGGAAGTTGCACAGCAAAGCCGGATCGTGGCTCAATCAGAAATTCGAAATCTGCAAGAGCTGATTTGCAGATGTGCCACTGGCTCGACCGCCACGGGGGATGGATAGCCACTAGGGCCTCTTGAAGACTTCAGAGAAGGGCACAGAAAGAACGGCTCAGTTCAGACTGTTCAGCTGCTTCTCCAAAAATCCAGGCCTCGGGGCTGGGCATGGATGCTACCAACAGGGACGGACCGTAATTCTGGCACCCAGCGCCTGAGCTGCATGCATGAAAAGCTTGGTGTCGGGATGTATCCCTCACAACCTCTCACATTCTCTCCGGCCTCACGTAGCTTTCGTCGCGGTCATACTGACGAGCCTTCAGCGGGGCAAGAATTCCTGAACCAGTATGGCTTGTAGGGCCCAGAGTCTAGCACCTCCAGGTGGCTGATTTCTTGGCCCGAGGTGATGTCTCTGCAAAGATCTGCAAAGACACATGGCTCCTGCCTCCTCCATAGCATTACATTACATCCTGAAAGCAACTGAAGTGACCGCAGCTTGCCTGCTCGAACGGATCGAATACCGAGTCCCCAAGCTCCACCTGGAGAGCGCAAGCACATCAGAGTGCAGGCACAAGCGGCACAAGTTTCTGGTACCGCTTGTGCAGCTTCCGACACCACGTCGACTGCAATGCCTTCCTCGATCCTACAAGCCATGGATGCCCACACCAGCCATGCATGCAGCCAGAGGGCACCCCTTGCCCACGGATCGCCACCGCCGCCTCGCCTTGGCTTGAGAAGTTCAACTGGCTTCCGCTTCAAACGGGTAGTTTGCTGCTCTTCTCCGGCCCATCGGAGGCACGGCCCACGCACCTCTCTTGCATCGCCTCTTTCAGCGATTCTAGGCTGATTCACATATATTCACATCGATGCACTGCCCAGCAGAGACACCTATGTGTTCTTTTTCACCAAGCTGCGCACCTGGCCTGCGGCCTCCCGTAGGACCGCGCCCCTTCAAGCCCAAGGGGTACTTGTCCTTGGAGCCCGGGCGCTAGCCAGCGCTGCGCATGCTTGGATCTCAATGCGCTTTTGTGGACATGTTTGATCGGGGACCCCCCCGCCCCTCACGTTGGTTGTAGTCCGGATGCTCCAAGATCGACAGCGATGTTTGCCATGGACGCCCACTCACCTTCGACTCAACTGCTCCGTGCTTCAGCTGCCAAGGCATGGGCTCACAAGTTGACTCACCAGGTTCGAAAACTTGCCGATGTATAGCGGTTGCCTGGTTGCCGCCCTGTGTTTTCCTTGCTCTGTTGGATGTTGGCTGTGTTGGTGGGCGGTTGCCCATCCATGTCGTCTGGCGCTTGGGCTTCTGGTTTTGTGGCCTTGCCCATCTGTGCTGCTGTGCCAAGACTGTTTCGTGGCAAGGCTGATTTTGGGGTATGCCCCCCACCGAGAAGACAAAAAAAACAGCAAGAAGAAAGTCGCATCATACACAATACGGTATTCAGGGGATAGGGGTTTAGGATTTAGCGCAGTCACTTTTTTCAGAGAGATTGTCGGCGTCAGAGTCACAATAGGCCACTCAGTAAGTAAAACTAATGAAAATCATGAGAACCACTGTCTTCAAGTTCATAATATAATGGCATTGGGATAAGTTAGTTCGGTCTTCGTTGTCGTTAACTTTCAACTCATAAACCTTAAACCTACCCTAAACCCTAAACCCCTAAACCATAAGAAACCCTAAATCCCACCCTGTTTTTTTCAAGCCCTGCTCGTCTGCACGCAGCAGACATCGCTGGCTGGGGTCTCAACATTGAGCATGCAGGGTTTAAATTTTAGAGTTTAGGACCGTCTCAGAGCACTGCATCAGTGCCTTTCAAACGCGAGCACTGCTAAAGTGCCCCAAGAAGCGAGCACTGCATCAGCCTTGCAATCAAATGGGAGCACTGCTAATAGTGCCCCAAGCGCGAGCACTGCATCAGTGCCTTTCACATGGGAGCACTGCTAAAGTGCCCCAGGAAGCGAGCACTGCATCAGCGCCATTTACAATTGGCGCACTGCTACAGTGCCCCAGCCCCACCCACTACCCACACCGACCACACTGACACCCCACGCCCCCACCCCCTCCCACCCACCCGTACCCACCCACCCCGCCCACTCGCCGGCCCACGTCAAGGGCGACTTGCATCTTCCAGCCGAGAAGCTTGCCGGCTACAGGGAAAAGCTCGGCAAACGAACGTGGCAGGAGCCGTTCATCCTCTACATTGCCTGCTCGGCGAAGTTTCAACATGATTCTGAGAACATGGTGAATAAGTGCTAGTTTGTAAACATAATAATAAGAATGGAACTGGAACTCTTCGCATCGCCCGCCTTTCATTAAAAAAGCAAACAAGACCAATCATACAACATCGACAAAGAAATGACTAAGATATGATGATACCTTTCTAAATCTTAACATGACAACAAAGAAGAAGCCTGGCAAAGGCTATACGTCGGCCGGTTGCGGGGACAGTGTCCCCTCGCAAGTGCAGCCTAGGTCGGCCTTGCGAGGTGGTAGTGTGCCAGAAGACTCCCTCCTCGCGAGGCCGTTGTTTGACCAGGCTGGAGTTGCGAGAGCCGGGTGCCGTATAACGGTTGCCGACGTATAGCCGTTGCCAGGCTTCTTCTTTGTTGTTAAAACTTAGAATGCTGTATGATTTGTCTTGCTTTCTTTCTTTAATTTTGGGCGGCAGGCGACGATGCGAAGAATTCAAGTTCTTAGGCGCATCATGTCACTTGTCCAGGTTGAAGGAACAGTTTCACAGCTCAGGCCGTGCCCGTACCAGTACCCACTACCACCAGACCACCCAGGCGAACATCATCGTCGTCACCTAAAGAAGTCGCAACCACGCCTCCCCCAGCCACCCAGCCACCCGCCCACCCACCCACTCACCCACCCCCGCCCATCCTACAGTCTATTTCAGCACCTGATGCTTGGGGCACTTTGATTTAGCAGTGCTGCCATTCTAAATTTAAATGGCACTCATGCAGTGCTCGCTATTCTTGGGGCACTTTAGCAGTGCTCCCATGTGAAAGGCACTGATGCAGTGCTCGCGCCTTCTTGGGGCACTTTAGCAGTGCTCGCGTTTGAAAGGCACTGATGCAGTGCTCTGAGACGGTCCTAAACTCTAAAATCTAAAACCTGCATGCTCAATGTTGAGACCCCAGCCAGCGATGTCTGCTGCGACGAGAGCAGGGCTTGAAAAGAACAGGGTGGGATTTAGGGTGTCTTATGGTTTAGGGGTTTAGGGTTTAGGGCAGGTTTAAGGTTTATGAGTTGAAAGTTAACGACAAAGAAGACCGAATCAACTTATCCCAATGCCATTACATTATGAACTTGAAGACAGTGGTTCTCATGATTTTCATTAGCTTACCTATTGATTGGCCATTTCTCTGAAAAAAAGTGACTGCGCTAAATCCTAAACCCCTAACCCCTGATACCCTAGTGTATGATGCGACTTTCTTCTTGCTGTTTTTTTTTGTCTTCTCGGTGGGGGGCATACCCCAACATCAGCCTTGCCACGAAACAGTCTTGGCACAGCAGCACAGATGGGCAAGGCCACAAAACCAGAAGCCCAAGCGCCAGACGACATGGATGGGCAACCGCCCACCAACACAGCCAACATCCAACAGAGCAAGGAAAACACGAGCAAGGAAAACACAGGGCGGCAACCAGGCAACCGCTATACATCGGCAAGAAAAAACACCACACACGCCTACGAACGGCAGCAACACATTTGGTCGGAGATGATTAACCACAAGAACATGCAGAAGACCGTGTGCCACTGTGCTGTTCGTGAGATAGCTGTCCCATCAAACAACAACACCCGCGGATTCGGATGTCTCAGCAGTGGTCAAGCATGCAGACGCAGTGCGATCCCTACTGCTAGTAGGAGCCCGGTTTAATGTAAAGTTTAGTGCCTTGAACCCTCGACCGAAGGACCTTGGGGGAACCGCAAGACACAATGCTGTGCTGCTTCAATACGCGTGCATGCAGTCGTGAAGTCTGTTCGTCAACGCCATGGACGGTCTTAGCCTTGTTAACAGAGCTAGCTTGGAGTCCATGAGGTAATGATGCATTCGAGAATCACTGCAACCCATTTGCATCTGTCGCCTGTGTGCGTATAGCCATCTCGCCATTTGTTATGACACATGCGCACACGCACACACACCAACCAACAGGCAAGCTTACGGCACAACCCTCAGCCTGACGAACACAGAATCTAAAGCAGCTTTCATCGATTTGGGAATTCCGGTGTGATGTTGATGAGTAACGATGCAGTACTTGCATCGTCTTCCAGGAATTCCAGAACAGCATGCAGTGACATGCTGCCTTGTGGACGCAAGCCCACTGGCCACTGGGCTTCCCGCCATAGTTCGAGCAAACATCATGGTCCAATAGAAGACTTTCGAACCTCCGCTGCGACTCGATACTCTAGTCGGGTCATGATCTGCTCAGCTGAGCCAGGGGCCAGTCGGCCCCTACACGCCAGTCGATGTTCAGGTAGTGTATCAAGTAGGAGGCTACTATGTAACCTCGGCCAGACAGACAACCACTCGAACAGCTGGTTTATCGCCCCACGTTTTCTTTTGAAAAGTGCCTTCTTCGAGTGTTGAATTCACACAAGGCCCTCCCTATCAAAAGTAACTGTGCCGCTCCATTCCGTGAAGCATTTCGACTTTGGCCACCTTTCCCAATCGGAGGACGAGGAATGCTATCTGTTTTCTGCTTTCGATGCCGGTCACGAAGCGGGCGCCTGGGTTTTCGAGCAAGCGTTCCCCATCGCCACGGGAAGCTGCGGGCGGATGGGTTTCACCATACTGCAAGGAACCGTCGATGCCGCCTCATTGAGCCGTTCTCCATGCCAGTGTGGATTGATTTATGCTGGGAAGGCTAGTCTTGTCCCTCCTTGCGGCGGCCCCTCATTAAGAAGCAGAAATCGTCCAAACTAAAGCAGCCACTTATTTTGAACCTGTGCTGAGGCCGAAGCCGAAACCATGTTGGGAAAGAGCTATATTCTGCTTAACACCCCCTCCCCCTCCCCACTGATAGAACACGAAAACTGCTGGACAGAAATCCATACTCTGTAGATTCTGTAGCGCGCGGTGTTGAGGCATCCAGCAACTTTAGGGCCTCGCGGACCTGCTGCAAAGACAGCATGATCAACAACCCTTCAGTGAAGCCGCGCCCCCGATTGGCCATAAATCCAGTCGCGGCCAATTCCCGCATCAGTGCATCCACAAGGGGCACACCAGTCCTCAAAGCCACTTCTAATCGCTGTTTTCTTGCGCAGCCGTTAAAGGATGAACACTACGAGTGCAATGCAACCATGTAAGCGCGGTCCTTCCTTGCTTCCAGGTCTGTTCGATAGCTGCGTCCCTCCTTCGATCACGCTCGCTCATCATCTAAGTGATTGAAACTTCGGCTGGATGCCCGGTGGAATCCCGTGGACAGTAAACCGGAAGCACTTGCAAGGACGCCACAAGCCCTTCAAAAGCCACCTCCACCCTCCAAGTTTTCCTCCATGAGCGCGCTCGCCGTGCAGGGCCCGACAGGAAGAACACCCGCCGGCCGAAGTGAGCGCCTCGTGGTCCAGAACTTCAGAGATGGCTATAAAAGCCATTTACGTCATCTTGGAAACGGCGAAACCGCTTCCTCGAGACCGAATTGGAAAGCCAAGGCACAGTAGAAATGGAAGTAGTCGCGCCAGCAAAGCTGGAAAATAAACTTTTGGACGTGGTCGAAGCGCCCATCCTGAACTGTTTAGCACGGGTTCCGAAAAAATGAGGAAGAAACCCAACGCAAAGTGTTTCCAACCGGCCAAATCATTTTCTGCACATAAGACTGCCCGTACAGCCGACGGCGAATCAAGTCCTGCCTACGATGCTGCCCAAGAAACGTTGTCCTTGCCGTTTTCTCGCTCAAACCTTCGAAGCAGAATGTGTCCATTGGAGAGTCGGCCAGCGCAGCCATCGCTGTCGGTGCACTGCAGTCAAGTCTCTGTACGGCTCGCCAAAACACAGAGCGCGGGGACAGGCAACCGATAGCCATCCAAGGGGAGAGGCGACTGCTACAGTGGCAGTGCAGCTGATTCCGGGTCTGCTGATATCTTCCTAGTCCTGGCCCAGGTATGAGCATGGTCGGACATAATAGTGCCTCTGACTGAAACACTCGCGACCTTGCTGCGATGTGACAGGTGTGTCAGAATCTATCACACGGGTCCTGTCTTTGTGTAGTACGATTCCAGTTGCTTCCTTGTCGCGCAGGCAAGCAGGGACAATGCGAGCGGAGTTCCTCTGGCCCAACCATGACAAGCAGCAGGCAGGCACAGCGACAAGGCCAGGGGTGTTCCATGGCAGCCAAGGTTCCAGGCTTCGGACTCTCCACCACGCCACGCGAATTCACCGGCGGTGGGCTCTTCGAGAAGTTCCTCTCCACTGTTGACAAGCTCTGAACGATCAAAGTTGCAGGAACCGGCTCCGTCCCCTTGACTCTTTGATTGGTGCTTGCAAATCCAGATCCTTGCTTGCCTCATCTACTTCAGAAGCCGTCTCATGCGTCACCAATGGTGGAGGTCAGGCAACCCAACTCAGAACACTAGGTTTCTCCCGTCCCGAAGCTCATCCATCCCCTAGTCCCTGTCTCCCATGGATCGCTACTCACGAAGTGTGACAACATGCAATTTACTAAACTTAGTGAGTGCAACCCTTCCATCTACTGTACTAGTCATATGTCATTCTTTTCGTTCTTGTCCACATTTTAGAACTCGTTAAAAAACTCTGGCTAGGCTAGCGGACTCCTGGCTGCTTTCCGTGCTTCTTCTAGTGGAAATGGTTGGAGACTTGGGGTTAAAACCAGTTTACGGCTGCTGCCGACTGGCCGAGCCCAGACCCATGGCTTGCAGCAAACATCCGGCCACTGGCTGCACCATGTCCTGATTGTCTGTTGCGATGACTCACCGCGATTCTACGTCCCAGCGAAGATGATCCCCTGTCTGTTATGTCAGACGTTGTGTCGTTGTATTCCGAATGTCAGATTGGCAGCTGAGGTGACAGAAAGCAAAATGCATTTCCGAAAGAGCGACAGCTGTGATGTTTCTTTAGCCATGTGGCGAGTCCCAGTCCGGCTTCTTTGGAAGGTGGCAGCTGCCCTTGGTCCGGGGCTCGGCTCCCAAACAAAGGCAGAAGCTGAGAAGGGGACGTGTGCCTGGGGTAGGCAGCTCCTGGCGCGGAGTTACGGCCGCACACGTCTCGTGGTAGAACCTCGGTGCATTGACCATACCCAACCTCACTAAGATTCTCCGATGATCATTGCAACGGCAGCAGGCATGATGATGCGATGCCTCCATAACATGCCAGGAAGCTTGCCGAATGGGAGTGGCAACCACTCCAAAATGTCCTGGACACAGGATTGCACATCCGTTTCTGCTTCTTTTTTTGCACCTAGGCTTAGGAGCCTGCCAAGGCTGTCAGAGGAGGCTTGGCTTCTTGCAGCAAGGAGGCGAAGCCCAGATCCTCGCGGTTCCGGAGAGTCTGGCCTGAGCTGACTTCGACGGAAACCACACTTTTATGGCGCCGGCAAAACTGTGACCACCGCCGAAGTTGACACTGCAATCAACACATGTTCATAGTATTCATAGCGTACAGCTCTGATCCTGGAGCCCTTGCCGAAATGGCGGCGCACCTCGGCCAAACACACGCGAGGATTCAGCTCAAACATGACTTCGTCGGCCGCTTCCTCTCACCCGTCCTATATGTTCAATGATGTTCAATGCGTCCCATGTCAGTGCTAGAATGTGCTAGAATAAGTGGTGTCAGCATGCGATGGCGCAACACGCAGACAAAGACAAAGACACAGACAAACACAGACAGACAGACAGACGGACAAGCAGACAGACCGACAGACAAACACTCACGCAAAGCAACGTCGGATGCCTCGACATTTGCTGGAAGTCTGCCGAGGATCGCCTCTGCTGCAGGAGTTAGCTTGGCTGACTTTTCCGATGTCTTCGTACCCGTGTGCGAGTCTTGCACGGCTTGCCGATTGGGTTGTCAACAAGAAGCATGAAGTGCCTCTTCCACTTGCTGCTCATCGTGAGTGTCCTCTGCCTGCTGCGACGTGAGCCGTGCTTAGCTTGATGTCTGTCTGGGCTTGATGCAATTATTAGATTTGCTTATGCAGGCAGGGAGCACCGAAAGATCCTTTTCGTAGCCTCATGCTGGCTCATGTTTATTGTTGGCCCCATCGGCGGCCAAGCAAAGTGTCAACAGCGGACGGTGACAGTCCAAACTGCACTATTGCTCAATGTCTGATGGACTTTCTGGCCTGGTACACGAGCAAAGACCCCGGTGGCAAAAGCTGCGGCAGTACCTGCTTAAATTCGCAGTTGGTTTGCATGTGGGTGATGCTATACGAAGAAGCTGGCTCAGGCTGCAGGAGTGTAAGTTAGTTGCCGAAGCTCTTTTTTTCTATTGGAAAAAAGTTTTCGCGATTCTGCTTAAAGGTAATTCCTGCCTCCTCGGGTCGTCCGGCGACAGTAACTAGACGTGAGCCGATGCTGCGCAGTGATTCGGCCAGCGCCTGCACACTTGGACAAGGAGTTGGTTGGAGAGGAAACGTTGGGTTCGCAAGGCCCCGCTTCGGCTGATGCTCTTCGCGAAACCCCTCTCGGCCTCCAGGGACTCAGCGATCAGCCGGCTCCTCGCTACTTCGTGTCGACATGTTCTCTGGTTGCCGCAGAGAGCCGTGCATCGAGAACCCCTTAGGAAACCAACAAGTCGTGTGATATCGCGTGATCGTGTTTCCACCATCTCGCAGATTGCGGACAATATGCATCATGCTTGGTCTGATGCCTACATCTGTGCAAATGCTCCCATGAGCACGAACTGGAAGACTGCGAAGGTCGTGTGTCAGAAATTCTGAAGCTTCTGTAGCCTGAAAGGTCCACATCTCCGGTGGTCACCCCAGGGGCTCTTTTCCCAATGACGTGGGTCAATGCAGTACCTCAGTGCAGTGGAAACAGGCTCGTCAGATTGGTTGAGCGGGATCGAACACGACTGCCGATGGGCGGCACAACCAAGAGTTCAGAAGCCGCTTGGAGTCCACGCACGTGGAAGAGTTCCTTCAGCGAGATTCAGCGAGCATAGTCATCATCATCATGCGGTACATGATGCATGCCGGCTGACGAAATTTAATGCATGCACAGCTTGAACAAGTGCAACTCCTACTCAGCTGTTCGAGTACGGGCACGTTGTCGTGCAGGCGCAGGTCGTTCCGCAGCCATGCAACAGCTCGTCGGCTCATGGTATGCCACAGGCAGGACAGCCAAGGGATGCTAGAGTTTTGCGTTGGATGTCCTTGTCAGAGATTGGCTTCCAAAGCGATTGCTGGCGGTCAAACATTGCCAAATTCGCCTAGGTGTTGCATATTCGCAAGTCTAACTGCAGCGGTTTGAGGCGGTTCAGTGTGACTCAGCGGCAGCACCATCACAAAGCATACCAAATGATAGCCGCATACCACAACGCCTTTACCCTGTTCGTTCGTGCTGGGTAAGATTGACCGGCTCCCCCGTGTGATCTGTGCTGCCACACATGGCAAGCCATACCAAATTCCATCTGAATCCATCTGAGACCAGGGCTCCCCCAGTCTCATCTCGGCACACTCACGCACCTGCGAGCACACTCGCTACAGCTTCGGCGGCAACTCGACAAGAACACAGACTGCAGATGACTGGAGCCTGCTAATGCTGCCACTTGGATCAAGATTCGGCGCAAGCGTTTTCTTCACAATCTGCGCTGGCTCATTCGTTCCGTTCCCCATCCCTGCCGGAATGCAAATGGCTGTTTGCAGCCAAGCATGCATCCGTGGTAGCAATAACGGTGCAGCAACAACCTCAACCGCAGCTCAACACACCGCGGAACCTTGTACAGCGCCAAAATTCCTGGTTTTTGAAACACACTCTGCTGGGTTGTGCCGTGCTCTCGAGCGAGAACTGGTGAACACGCCCTCAAACATTCTCTTCAAGACTCGGGTTTAAGGCCTCGGCTCGGATGACGAAAATCAGCAGTGATTCGGCAGCGGAAGGAACAGCTTCGTAAGATGTTAAGCGATGTGCCAGAAACCAATTTGAATCCTTGCACTTCCGATAGCAGCTTGGGCCTTGGGTTTTCGAAGAGAACTCAGGGAGCCTTGGCCTGCGCGCTCCGCAGGCATCGTGCTGTGAAACCACGTCAGCGGCCGATGACAAAGCAAAAGTTGCTGCCCGTTTGAGGGACAGCAGCCACGCCGGCCGGCCACAGGACAGATAAAGCAAGAGTACACGTTTGTCCGGGCAGGAAGAATTCTTTACAGGTCCCAGGCCCTGGACACACCTACACCTACCCTCTCGCAGACTTGCTTCGAGAGGTTTTGCCAGGGTCAGGCGACACTTTCTTCAACAGTGACAATACTCAACGTTGTCTGCATTGTTCTGCCATGCCGTCAACACGTACCAGTACCGCATGGTGTCGCTTCACCCTGGAGCCTGCCCGAGCCCGGTTCGGAGGGGTTCTGTCGAGGCTTTTCTGCAGGACTCTCGGGTGTGAGCTTGGCAGGCTCTGGAGACAGTCAGCTGTAAGGACGCTGCCTTAAATCCAGTGTCCATGCCAAGGCAGCACCGGGTGAGTGAGTTTCTTAAGAAACGGTCTCACCTGCGCCGTGTGCTCCTGAACCAGGTAGCGCAGCTTCAACTAAGACCCCACTGTGCTTTCCTGTGAGCTGCATCGAGCCCTGTGCAAACGCTGCATTGGGACTTGGGTGCTTTTGAGGAGCCCTTGTCGGCAAGAACAAGAGTCAGAGCATCCGTGCTACTTCCAGCCTGAGAGGCGAGAGACCGGTGAAATCACTTTTCCAAACCGGGCCAAATCTGTATCCTTAGAAAGGGTATCAGCTCGCACTTAACGTTCCAGGAGCATGTCTGTGTGCACCCTGTGCTTGCGCGGTTTTGGCAGCAAGTTCTTCAAGCTTCAAATCACAGCAAGTTCTTCAAGCTTCAAATCAAGAGGTAATGAAGACCCTGAAGACCTAAGGCTTTTCGCGAACTGCGCCAAGACGCCCTCCATCTCCGATCTTGAGCGCCTTGTGATGCTTATAGTACCTGAGCTGGTAGGCGGCTGTGCTAGGAAGACTCCCGCATCTTAGTCCTGTGCCTTGCTCGCTGTATGGCTGTTGTGCGGTCTTGTTGGCTGCGTTCGTTCCTGCTCCGTTCCTGCCCGCGGGTCGCTTGCCTGTCCTGAACAAATGCAAAAAGACACACGAGATCCATGTGCTATTGAGAGACGTACCAGATGGTTTACCTCCATCACTTTCGCTTCGACGGCCGTAGTTTTGGAGCAGCATCTTGTCCTCGTTATGGAGGCTGACCTCAGAGCTTCGGATGACAAGTTTTCCGAAATTTTCGATCACACAAAGCCGCAATATGCCGCAATGGACTGAGGCCTAGCCTGTCCCTCAAGCTGCAGCTTGGAGACAGGATCGAGGTGTAGCTTATTGCCCACACGCACGTGACCTCCCGGAAGAGCCTCCTGAAGGGACCGGCATGCAGCAGTTGTAGGCGGGCCATGCTACTTTGACTTTGGCGTCTGCGCCGCTTGCCGTGGCATGACGTGCATCATGAGGACTGCATTGAACTCAGTTCTTACTATGCTCTTGCCTAATGCAGAACCAAAGCACCGATTTCTTGTCTCTCTCGAAAAACTGTGGCAAATTAACAATCACTATTCGCTTCTACACCTTCAGATTTGTGCCCATCGTGGTGGAGTTCTGGAGTTGGTGGCTGCTCAAGTCGTAGTTGGATCGGTGTCGATGGAGGATTAATCACTTCGAATGTTCGCTTTGGGAATTGAAAAGGGTTTCGAAAGTTTGGATCAGCAAAGGTCCGGTGCTCACCAGTTCAGAAACGCCGGAATGTTGTTTTGGCCGACGAGTTCTCCTTGCGAATTCCTGCAATGGCCTCCCTTGCTGTGGAGCTGCAGTCGTGTTGTTTCCAAAACTGCAGTAGCTTTTCATCGGGTCTACAAAAAGTCTAATTATATAACGCGCCAGACGTATTGGTTGCGCGCGCGCCAAGTCAAGGAGGAATGCTGAAAATGTCATCCCTGCCGAGTGATTCGTGGTTTGCACCACACCCCGATGGCGTGCAACGGTTGCAACCTTTTTTCCAAATTCACTGCGCCTTCCACGCGTCGCTGTGAAAACAACCATTTTGCATCATGCCTCAAATCGCAGTAGTGCGACGGATCGCATCCGCCACAAGATATTACGGTTCCGGCATGGATGCTTTGCGTGAACGGATGGGGTCGGGGTGGACGTTATTGCGGTTCCGACATGGGTGCTCTGCGTGAACGGATGGGGTCGGGGTGGACGTTATTACGGTTCCGGCATGGATGCTGTGCGTGAACGGATGGGGTCGAGGTGGACGCTATTGCGTCCGGGCATGGATGCACTGCGTGAACGGATGGGGTCCGGTGGACGTTATTGCGTCCCGGCATGGGTGCACTGCGTGAACGGATGGGGTCGGACCTTACAGTATTATATGATTCCGACATGGATGCTCTCTTGCGGCATGTGCGCAATCGAGTTTTAGCAAGTGCCGAAACCACTGTACCCACCCGTGTATTCGGCATGTGACCCAAAGGAAACACCGTAAATATCGAGGGAAACGGGACGTATTACTGGGTGCACGCAGCCAATACGTCTGGAGGGTACAGCATACTCAGTTTCCCCAGCAGTGAGGATCTCTTGATGACTTGACATTTGGAGCGAATTCTGTCTTTCGCTGCCATCAGTGAAGCATGGATCTCACCGAATCATACCTTAGCTGGACCTCGCTACAAGCATCAAGGCTTCGTGTGGACTTTCGCGTGCATTGCATGTCCGGCCTGAATTTCATGCACTTGCCCCTCGAGGACCACGTATTTGAAGTCCTCTGCCTGAATGCAGAAACATCAGAAACAACAGACATGCAAGACCCTTTTCGATTCAAGAAGCCAAGTGGAGGCGACACCGATATTAGCCCTCTGGCGAATGCGAGGCGAATACGAGATGATCTCGTTCGTGTCACATGGAATTTGAATTCTTCATGGTCGGTACCGAACTCCTGCATGCTCTGACCGCGACCGGCCTTCCAATTGCTCAGGGCATAGCTGGCGCAGTACTTCTGGTAACACTCTGCCCAAACTTCCTCACGACTTGCGACAGCACAGTCTAAGTCGTGGCGTGGGTCACAATCGCAGAACTTTTCCGCTCAATTCTTTCAGTGCTTCTCTGGCCGACAGCTCATGCACCCATGGTGATGCATCAGCCAAGGCTCCTCATAGTAGACGCCCTTGCTGTTGAAGTATTGGATGATCTCGTCCACAGGCGTGTCCGCGCGTATGTCGAACGTCTTCCCTTCTGCAACGAGCTCATCCAAGATTCTTCTGACCTTTGTTCCGATTTGCTTTGCAGCACGACTTTAAGTCACTTCGCCATCTGTTCTGCTCCTGCATTCTCTCTCAGGTTGGCACGTACTCGAGAGGAAACCATCTGCCTCGCTGGGCATGCAGTCCGTCCAGAAGCTTCCTCAGTCATCGTGTTGCTCCTAGATGGCAGCATGACAGGCTGCCACTCTGTCCAGATATGATGCTCTAACTGCTAGAGCACTCAGCATTGGCATCGCCGACGACACAAAGACACACTTGTTGTTGCAGCTCGGCTTCGAGTGATGGAAGGGCATCAGAGGCAGCACAATCCACTGCAAATGCAACCTGCTCAGGTGCCATGACACATCCCGGCTAACAGGAGCTTCGCATGCCGCAACTTCTCGACTCAGTCTGACGAAGCATCCGGCCCGCAACATGTGGAATGTTTCGATTCACCAAGGTTGCCTGGCCTTAGCCTCACTGCCCCATTAAATCCCTGCTGTTGGTGGCTGCCGGAACGAGGAATCTTCTGGGTTCTCATGCCAGGCGTCTGGCTTGAACTATGCAGTGTTGTGCCGAAACATGCAAAGCTGATGCTGGCCCAGCAAAGACCAGTCTGGAGTCCGTCCGAGGTTGTGTTGTTCGAGCATGATCCGAAAGGACAAGCTCAGCGAACTGCGTTGATGCACGCTTTCTGCCAAGTTGCTGATATTGCGATGGCGGCGAGTTGAAACCACCTTGGAGCAACAGGTTCGTAGGACTGCCGTTCCCTCAATCGCAGATCTGAACATATCTGAACTGTTGGTCACTCGGGGGAATAAGGAGATGGCACATTGATGACTGTACAGTGCACATGCCATGTTCGCCAGCATCACCCGCGGCTGTGGTCTGTGACTCTGCCAGAAACAGAACGAATGCCAAGGTCCACAGAACGGCAGCATGGGAAAATGTGTTGAATTGAAGCTCTCTCTGCTGCTGAAAGGCATATGATGTTGTCCCTCACCATCTCTTTGGTAACACCTTCTCCTTGGCATCATTGCTTGTGCTGGGATCAATCAACACATCGTGTTGCTGCTAAGTGTTACAGAGCACTGACTTTCGCTTCGGATTGGGTGTGTTCATGTGTGTTCATCCATACCATTACAAGTGGTCGAGCATCTGTACACGAACTTCCGCCACTGCTCGTCCGAGAAGAAGGACAAAGTGGCCTGCCAAGCCTCTGCCTCCATCTCGTCCAATAGGCCTCCGGGGAGATCTGTCTTACCCGTGGCATGTCTCGAAGCAGCGTGACCCAGCAGTGGGATGTTGAGATTGGCAGGCGGAACTGCAGAAAGGAGCCAGACTGTCGAAACAGACCCCTTTTTGCCTTCGGCTACCTTCCCTCTCAAGCCCCGGAGTGTAGATAAACAATTCTGAAAACAAGACAAGGCACGAAGCCGACTCTTGCGAAAGGGGTGATACTCTTCCCGCTCCCTGAAAAGTCATGAGGATGAGAGAACGAAAGTCCTTTAGACTCCTGCGGTACCGGTTTGTTGAACAACACCAGCTCCACCCGATTCCGTTTGAACTGTGCCCATGGAAACAGCGTGGTGCATAGAGCGTACTCAAACTCGGAGAGATACCTCGGTGGACCCACATCTTTCTGTCATCGGGAATGAATCCATTTCTCTCTGCATTTCCGATGCAGCCGGTGCAGCCTGCGATGCAAGTGCCCTGCTGGAACGGCGCTGGATGCCAGAGTCATTGCACAAGTTGGAATTATTTGGAGGACGCAGAATCCTTCACACTGCCGTTGGAGAATCCCCTCCGCAACGGATTTTGTGCTGACTTGTCATGTGAGTAGAAAGTCGGGCCATGGATTCAAGCCTCCCTGTGGAGTGTGTTTTTCGGCAACAGCCCAGCGGCGGTGGGAGGGTTTCTGTTTGGGTGGAAGGGAATTAGCCCTGCGCCGGCTCATGAGCACACCCCCTCGCTGCCTAAGGGCCCACGGCAGAAGTAAATTTGCAGCATATGTGATGGGTGCGACGGGGTTGCTCTACTGTCCTCTTTCTTTGCCGCATGCTTTTGCAAGCTCATGTTTTTCGGGAAAAAGAAGTCCCGAAGCATCCCACCCCCATCCACAAGAGGCGAAGCCCAATGTATCTCAATGTCTACGTAGACGAGACTAGGCCCTACTAGGCCTAGGCCACTGGAAGACAGAGGCTAGTCAGGGCGACTTTCGGCTCTGTGACGGATGAGACCCGGTCTGTCTGGAGGCTGCCGATTGCCAACTTCAAGACAGGCCTAAGGCGGTTGACGGATCTCGCAGCAGCCATCTCCAGTCCTGCACTCTTAGTCCTACATCCCATCTGAATTTATCCCAACAGCGCGGTGTATCCAGCAGGTTATGTGCATGCCATCTCAGGGCGTCCTGGCAGTAGTGGCTTGTCAGGAGAGCATTGAGGTGGCACGTGGACCTGTGCACTCTAGGGTGAAGCCCAACAGGAAGCTTTTCAGACCAGTGCCCGACTTGAAATCAGAAGCTAAAGAACAACCTCACAACCATGCTATAGCCATGGAGCATTGCCAACAAGTCGTCAAAAACGATGACGTGGTCGGTTTGCCTGTTGGCAAACGCGAGGTTGATCTGGACTTGCTTTCAAAGATATCAGTCAACGGAAAGACTACGGCCACACAAACACCACTGGAAGCTGATGCTGATTATGTTGCAATCAGCAAATACAGTACCTCCGTTCGGGTGTGTTCGCACTCACCGTGGCACTGCGCCTGCGGATCGAGATCATCAGCGGGAACTTTAAAGTGCGCTCAACGCCGAAAATAAAGCCCATCATGACCTTGGCAGGTGTGCCCAAGCCCCAAATCCACAAGTGTGGTCTCGGATGTAGTCACGAATCTAAGCAACTAGAGACAGACGTGACATTCATGGCCTTTTCCAATGGCACCTGTGTGTGGCGAACATGCGACATCAAGTGTGCAGTGGCAGTGGGAATTGGCACACAGCCACTCCCTAAACCCTATTGAGGCCGAGCGACGTTCTCCGTCTGCGTTATGGGGACATTCTCCAAGGTGTGCCCACAGCCTTGACAGGCCTCGAATGGCAGTTCAATCCCACACCCCTATCCCTTCCTCTTAAAGTCTTGAGGAGGCTGCTTTTCTCTGAATTGCCAGTGGGCTCGTGCCTTGGGCCCCTGGGCCTACTGACATGCCCTGTCGAAAACTCTAGAGACTCCCCAGTTTCTGCCCAGTCTGCCTTTTGATTGTGCGCGCACGGCCGACCGCACCTGTCACACACCTGGCAGAGTGTCTCTGCTTCTTCGCTATTGGTTCATCGACTCTAACTGTAGCAGCTCCAGCATTGAATTCGTAACGAAAGTAAACTTCACGTTGCAACAGGCTGAACTCCAAAATCACGGGAAGCGAGCCTTGACATCATTGTACATGTACCTTGCCAACCTTACTCTACCGCTCTTTCGGCTTTGCATTGTGCGGAATGAGGGCTTGCCGGCTGGCTGCATGGCATGGTCTTCTGCCTATCTGAGTCTGAGAAGTCTGTCCAGGTCAGATTTGCTCAAACAATGTCATGCCGATGCGCCAGTCCAGAGCAATGCCTGCACACCGCACCCTGATTGTCGCAAGCCGAGAAACTGTTCATTGGTGCGTGCCACGCTGTCGACTGCTCCTCCCACCTGTCCAGTGCAGCATCACCCGCGGCATCAAGTGCTCTGACTCCCCTGGAACGGCCCCTTCCCTGGAAGCCAGATTCAAAGCAAAATGACAAGCAGCTGTCTTTCGGTACCACAGCTGGAAGCACCACTCAGACCCTCAACCTTCCAAGGCTCCAACCGGAGGCTCCAGCATCTCGGTCGTGGAGCAAATCCATGGAAAAGCGCCAACGAACCTGCATGGTCTTCAAGCTTTTGACCGTGTGGCAGACATCTGCTGGAATGGCTTGACCGTGAGGCCCTCCCCGCGTGACATTTATGCTGGCTGTGCTTGGCCAAGCTGCCCGGCGAGGTGGCAGCTTTTGCTTCCTGGAAGAACAGTCCTTACTTCAATCGGGAACGATGTCCGCACTCATCACCGCCTTCCACAAGCTCATGGCTACATGAGGATGTCTGCATGCCTGCATGCAGCCTGGTGTCCCGACATTAACAGGAGATCGGTCATCTTCTGTCCTTAGTGACGTACTCATGGGAAGCTGTCTCGACCATTTCTCACAAAAGAATTACATCTGAACCCTGAGTGTCAATGCAACATCTGGCAAGAGAGATGAGAGTACCGAGTGCACCCAGGAGGCATCTCGTAGTCCTGCTTGGTGTATCTGGCAGTGCATGGGCAAGAGATGCCGAAAACTCCTTAGAATTGACTTTGGCGTTGCCCGAGTAGAAACTGTCGCCGGCTTTCGCTTGCTGCTTGCACAACGGGGAATGGTAACATCAGGCAGCATTTTTCCCGAAGACGGAGCTAAGGAGCCACTTTCTAAGGCGCTCGCAGCTAGCTTTCAGCTATGTGTGCACGTCGAGCGAGTCGTTCAATGCAGCTTGCTGCCGCAACTCCGACGCTCGCGCACGACATCCCCCGCTCACTGGAAACGATCACAGCCCTCGGCTGTGAACTGTCGCGGCTTCTTTTCCTTCCTGCTTGACGTCGTCCAGCTGACCCAGGCAAGGCCGGTTAGAGCGCACTTGTCCCCTCTAGCATCTTGACCAGAACTTCAGCCTCTTCCTCTTGTAGCCCGGCACTGTAATCAGTGCAAACTACACGGCCAAACAGGGCATCATCAAGCTCGGAGAGATCGAAAGAGTCTAGGATCGCCCATTCCTGGCATCGGACAGCTGCAGTCCATGTTTCTGCAAGGAACGCATGCGGTCCTGCACCCACGTGTTGTCTTCCAGCCAGCATCCGATTTCGACAAGGCGCAGCTCCTCATTCTCAGAACCTTGAACTGCAGCACTGAAACTGCAACTTCCAGTTCAGCGTGGCAAAACTGCAGTGTTGTGAGCTTATTGGCTAAAACCAGAGCAAAGAATATTTATTTTCCATCTGCGTAGCATGCTGGTCGGTTCACGAGTTTCGCTCATGTCTACAGCCTAGATAGAAGTTTGGGAAATCCATTGTCACTGTTTATCCACAGCATACCGGTCTTGTGCGAAAGTGTCACCGTCTGAAGCCGTGACTATGATGCTGATTGCAACATGGTCTGGACCCAGTTCGAATGCTGTACTCATATTAGCAGTCGTGATGCCGCTACTTCTTCCATCTGGTGTTGCCGCAATTGCGGCCATTATCCACGGCACCCCTTCGCGCGCCAGGGCAGAGCCAAGCCGACCAGCATAACGCTCGTCCAGCCTGCTGGATGCTCACTGCAGTATGGCGTGACATGTAGCAATGTAGTTGGCGAAATTCAAAAGGCGATCCCTACTGAGGCTCGAAGCGCTCATGACGGTGACCCCGCCGCCCTTGCATTGAATGATCCGGTGGGGACTTTGTGATTCTGGGTCGGCAACAGCACCAACTCGCAATCCTGCTGGGAGCTGAGAAACACGGGTCACACGGCTGGGCAGGAGGAGCAAGAGCCTCCATTGTTGAGGCTGGCTGAACCCAAGGACTGGCTGAGCTTTTCAACAGTATCGTCCGAGCAACAGGCAAATCAACACAAGTATGTGGCCCATGACTCATGACACAATGTCAGCAGAAAGCCCACAAGAAACTCAGCAGGCCGACTCTCCTGGCGAACTTCGCAGAGGAGTAAGTCGGTCTGTGTTGGTGTGCTTGATGTATATGGGAAGAGCATACGAACACTCGGTGCACACTGCCTGGTTTGAAAGTGAACGATGCAAACGATACATTCTGACGTCGCCTCAACAAAATTTGGCCGGCTTGACTTGCAAGTCCCTTGCTTGCCTTCATAATCGGCCGGGGCACCTCTGTGCGAAATGTGTGCGTACCAGGCAAGAGCACCCGAGTCAAACGCTTTGCTGCCAGTTTTCCAAGCAAAATCGCGATTCACCGGAAGGCGCTTGAGGGCAAAACTCCGAGGAAAGCATACTGTCGGAAAAACGTTTCTCGGCCGATCGTGCTCTTCGAAAAGGCTCTTCTGAGCAAAGCTTCACCACTAGCCAGAATATCTGCTGCACAAGGTGGCAAATTTCGACGAGACAGCCTGGATTTCTGCTTTCCGGAGCCTTCTTTCGCAAGCATGCCGCTTAAAGTTTCAAGTTCTGCTTTGTCGGAAGTGAAAGCTGAGTTCCGCGGTTTCGACAGAATCATGATTGCAGCGCCGGCAGCGTTGCTCAGTTTCGCCTCTGGTCCGGCCCAGCTCCATCCCGAGGCAACCTTTTTTTGGGGACGAATACCCCATTGCAGCACCCGAGAAGCTGGACCCCTCCATGACGCTAAAGCCGAGAACTGTTGCTTTATTTTTCTTATTGAAATTGTAGATTCAGCGCTACGATTGAAAGAGCAGCGAACCCGGCCCCAGTTTATCCGAAGCCCTCGCGCCTCCAGGGACTAGTCAGCACCACGCAGCTGGGAGCTCTTTGCAAGACGTGTGCGAGTCGTTGTAGCGGTCGTTTCTCCGCGCGCCCGCAGCGCGAAGACCTTACAAACCCACTCAAAGTACCGCCGTGGGCTAGGTCCCATGAAACCAATTCAAAGGGAACCACACGCTAGCTTGGAGTTCGGTCTCTTTATATTATTTTGCTTGTCTAATCAAAAGACGACAGCGAACCCACATCAGTCAATGGGAACGCACTCACCTTGCTGTCGTCTTTGGGTCCACTAATAGATGGTTATGTAAGTTACGTATGATAGGAGGCACCAGGCAAAAGTGCCTATTTTGCTCTGTATGTTCTCCTGTCGCTCATAACGAATGCAATGAATAATGTAATGTAAGCAAGGGGCGAACACGAACGAAGGGGATAACACCATTACATACTTTTCTGTGTCTATGTTGCTAGACAGGTGGATGTATACTTTGGATTTCAGGCCGCTTGAAGGTTACAAGCTCAAATCAGATAGAGAGCTTGCAGGGCCCTGAGTGGCTGATTAGCAGCGACCCCATTGGACTGGGTCGCTCTTGACCTTTCTTGCCCACCGCGTGCAAGTCGTTGTGCCAAAACAGCGGTCGAAACACTTTCGGGTGCGAGACAAGCACGTGAAAAGACACACTCCACTACAGTAACTGAGGTGCATGGCGCCGGAACAGTGACTGCCATGAAACAGCTCTCTCAGTGCATGGGAGGCTTCGGTTGGTGGGTGTCATCAGTGTGATCTGTGCCGGCATGCTTTGTGGCAACTGTGATGCTGGTATCTTTGCGCGGGAGTCTTGAATCTGCACACACATGTCTTGCGGTGATGACAGGTGCGATCTTCGGGAGTGGTAGAGGCTCGAACTGCAGACCCATTTAGCAGTTGACACCAAGTTGCGCAAAAGGCTCGTCGACGGTATTCAGCACGCCATCAATGTTCAAAAATAGTGCAGCAGATATCTTGGACTGCATCGCCATGATCTGTGTCTGCTCTTGAAGTTTCCGTTGATGCCTGCGCTCCATCTCTGGCCGGTCACAGTCACGTATGAAGTCCTTCTCCGACGTCGGTTGGAAGGCGCGTGAAGGCTTCCACCTCTCCGTGAGCTCGGACTCGAAGTTTATCCTGTCTTGGTAGAACAGGGGCTCCCTGGGATGGTATGCCCTCAGCTTGCATGCTTGATAAACCTGTTGGAACATCTTGTCACCGTGGTTGTGCATCGGCAACGTGTGCTCGACCAAGAGCTCAGCCACCCGCTTTGTGACCTGAGATCGAGAGGGCTGCTTGCAATTTGTCTTGTCTTGGGCAGCCTTCGACACCCAAAAAGTCTCCAAACGGTCTAGTCGCGAGGTAGGCATGACGGCCCAAGGCCTCCACAGAACGGAAGACGTGGCCGCTGCCGTCCACAGCTCTTCGCGCCTTCCATATCTCTTCTTGTTTGTCCAGACTCCTAAACTCTTTGACCTACTGCTTCTTCCTGCACCTCTTGACTTTCCCGCACGAAACCCAGATGGAGCAGGTCGAAATCAGCTGGCACTCTCCTTGAGCTGTGCATCAAGGAGGGAGACAGCTATGATCAGCTTTGCTTTCGAGGGCGCACGGTCCGGTAGTTGCAGCAGGCTGCCGGCAAAGTCTTCCCGCCCCAACAATCCAAACAGTACCAAGCAGTACCAGCGAGTTGAATACAACAGCGTAAGGCCCCAAACAGCACAGCTCACAGCTCGCACTGCATCTAATCTTGACTAAACCGAGACATCCAGAGTGTGGAAGCCCTACGAGTACGAGCCGACCCCTGATACCGTGCGCCGTGCGTCGACAGGAACTCTCTCAACCTCGATGAGAGGTCGGGGGGCCCGGGCTCTAGGTCATCCTCAAAGATGAGAGCGTAGTTTTTCCTTTGGCTCGCAGGCAAAGGGCAACTGGAAACTCACTGGAAACATGGTCGGCCCGTGTCCGTCATGCTATGTTCCCCACAAGTGCAACATCAACTTGACCGAGGCTCTTGGTGTCGGCGAGAAAGCGCCGAAGTATGTTCAGATGTCCGAGGTGGCATGCCACCTTGCCCTCGGGCATGTACTCCACATCTTGCCAGATCACATCAAGGTAGCTCTCCAGAATAACGCCCGAAGCAACCAACTCGTCCAAATTCATCCTGCGGTGGAGGTTAGATGGGAAGCTGTGGGGCGAAGTGCCGGCAGTCACGACATCCTTAAGCGAGAAATCAGCCTTACCTGCAGTCGAGGCTCTCGTGCTTGTCCGGGCCATTCACCAGCTCTGCATCGAAGCCCCAACGCTCCATAAGCTGTGAAGCATGCTGGCGACGAGAGGGGATGCAAAGCACGTAGACCTGCGTCTGCGAAATAATGTCCTTGCGGTGGAGTTTTTGAAACTGCAAAAGAAAGCTCATGAAGCAGAGAGGAAAGTCCTTTGGAGCATTCTGCTCTTCGTTGCTCTTTGGTACGCCAAGTGAAGACCACCTGCGATCCCAACGTCTGGTCTAGGGTCGGCCCAAGCTCGCGCCCACGATGTCGTGACAAGACTCGGCTCTGGTGTTGCTGCTGTGACAAGGCCTCGGCATGACCTCCACATCTGCAGCGCGCGCGCGCGCTGAGAACCGCACATCGAGCACAGTGGATGTTTCGTGATTCTTCACACTGCTGTCTTTGCTTGTGTTACAGGTGTGCTGGAAGTGCTAGGGTTCGGGGACTTAGTCAGCATTTCGCGGAGCATTAGCCTGCAGCTGTGATCCCAAGACACGATGCATGGAAGAGCGCACTCTAGTCACTAAAGCCTCGACCACCGGCGAAAAGCAGCTTCGGCAGTCTGCAACACGACCATATACACAGCATCGTTGCCGATGTGTGCAGAAGAGTCGAGGTCGAAGAGAACTGCCCTCTTCGTGCAAAGAAAGAGCCCGATGTGTTGCTATCTTCGTTAACACCTGCATGCTGCCAAGTATCTCATTACCTGGCAGAATGTGAGCTGGACTGCCACACTGTCACACCACAACGCCACTGCTGCATTACAGACTTCAGCTGTTGTTCAGCTGGCATGGATCTATTGCCAAGGCACTTCGGGAAACAAGCTGCCATCCATGCCTCAGTCAGACAGCCGGATGCTGATGCAAGGCTCCTGTTCCAACAGGCTTGGTAGTTCAGCCATCAGGACGTCCCTGGTGCGTAAGGTCACGACCATGGTGTGCTCGCTTGCATGGACAAGCTGGTTGAACATCAGCACTCCGCGCTTTCGAGCCGAGTGCAGACACGGCCCACATGAATCAAAACATGTGCCAGTGCGAGCTTGCAAGCCACGCAGCCTTCGAAAACTCCGCTCTCACAATTCCAGATTGTATACAGAATCTTATGGCAAGGCGGTGCCTCGTCAAACTTGTTCAGGAGCGAGGCTGTCCTTGGAATCCACAAGCTTGAGCTCACGAAAAGAGGCTTTCAGGAAAGTGGTGCTGCCTGCGCGACAACTCAGCCTCTCGCGCCGGACAGTGCAAACAGTTCTCCTCAGAGTCTTCAACAGGAAGATGTTACATTGCAAACCTGCACCGCAACTTTTTCTGCACCAAGACACGTTGCACTCGTCCGAGTCCCCAAGCAGCACCACCTGATCGCATCGTAGGAAACTCACTCTTAGCGGGACATATCGAGCTGTGAAGAATCCCGATCTTTAAGTGCTCGCTGGATGGCTCTCGCGAGACCCTGCCCTTCACAGAGCTTTGAAAAGCTTTCAGTAGCTCTGCAGGTACACCTTTCGTGCTTGATTGGGTCAACGAACATTTCCTCACCAAGTCGTGCTAGCTGCATCACCAAAGAGAAACCCTTCGTGACCTCGCATCCCGAGTGCAAAGTTTCAGCTATCGTAATTGAATCGTTCTGCACCATAGATTGGAACGACGTCTGGCTGCCACAGCAAAACAATCTTGCCTCCTGCCACTCCCCCGCCGCCACCAAGTCTGCATCATGGGACCTTCCGGACTTCGCATAACGATCAAATCCGTACTTGCAACCCACCATGCTGAGCCGGGGACGAATTTTGGTTCCCTCGGTGAGCAGTGCCAACTCCACCCCACCTGAACGACCGGAACGGAATGACGATGCTCCGTTCGCCAAATGCATCTATGATCATGGCCCCATGATGTACAACATCGTAGACTGCGCATTCAAAGATGCAAAGCTAGAGCACGCATCGGTTCTTTCCTTTCATGGTAAACCGATAAACTTGACCTTTAAATTAAAACTGCACAAACACATGTTGCTAGCTATAGGTGCGACACATGAATACGGTACTACACTGCGGGGGAGGCTGCACGCAAACTCTGAGACTCTGTATGCAGCGCCCCGTAAAGCCACGTTCTCAATTCTGTGCCTGCATCCTCTTGGCGCACTGAGCTCGCAAAGCTCCCGCTGGATCACCTCGACAATGACTCGACTGGCTGAAAACGGCCAGGGCCGTCTTTGATGTTGACCAGGCTCTTGCAGAATGTGCTCGAATCACGCAGCCCGGTCACACTGACAGTGCGTTCCTGTGCGTATTATAGTATTTCTCTTTCGCCATGCTAGACACTAGCGGCACTACCGGATTAGTCCAACTTGCTGCTACATGTGACTGAAGGAGAGAGATGAACCGGAAAGGAGTAGCAAGCGAAGCAGGGTCGTTTCTTAGTGCTGACCGTTTGAGCCAATTTGGCCCATGCTTCCATCTCCACGATAGGAGAAGAGTATTCAGGTCCATGGTTTTGAGTGTGCGTGCACCGAATGTACCACAAGCAATACGAGCAACAAGCAAGGCTTGTGAGCAGTCTGTGGCGCACGCTGCTCAGCACCAGGATTTCGCGTTGAAGTAGGAAGCAGGGGCAAGACACATACAAGGAAGACTCCGCGGTGCGACCACTCCAGCACGCAATCTAACACGAAAGTTCACGTAGCTGGACTTAGCACACGTCAGTTCTTCAGAGGCTGAGGCGGCAAAGTTTTCCTCCAGGCAACGGACCAACCTCGGACAGCAGGCAAACTCGACCCTGGAGCACACTTCGTCTATGACAGTGCTCTGCATTCCCCACTGCAATCAGGATGGCGGCCAACTTCCGATAAGCTTGGAGAAGGCACTAAAGAGTCGCCGATGGTTGCAAGAGCTGCTCTGCAGGCATTTCACCGAAATAACTTGAGGCGGAATGCTCAAACTGCTCCGGTTCATACCATGGCCGAGATGTGACCTGGTGCAGGCAGCATAGGGCAAGGGCAACATCAGCTGTGAGGTTTGCCCTGTGCTGTTCCCTGTTTGTGGGATTTCTGCGCATGCTCACCCTGCAGTTGGACAGCCAGCCTTCGGATCATCCCCCGCATGGAAATGAAGGGGCCGCTGCCAGCAGTTCACCCAATGACCTCTGCCATGCATTGCCGGCTGAGATCGGTGATATCAGCAGCACGGTCCATTCCAGTGGTCAGAGCTGGGTCTGCAAAATGTGGCCCTAAATCTGTCACCGACTCTTGACAACGAAACTTGTCTGCACGTCCAACAGCCACCACAAGCACAGATGTGCTTGCGGCTCCATCGGCCGGAGACCAAATTTCCATGTCAGGCTTTTGCAAGCAAAATTGCCGTTCAAGTCAATGCCAGTTACCTGTTTCCGCGGCAACTTGTGTTTGTGCAGTATTTCTGGTCCGGTTTCATGCTACTGCTAGTGCCCGGTGGCCGCGGGTCTCCCGAGCACCTCCATGGTCGACCAGCTTCTGCGCCACCCGCCTCCCGCAAACACACTCTAAACATGCGCCAGATCCGAGATAAATCGAGCTCCTTAAGCGGCCGATATCGGCCGATGCTACGTGCTGCTGCCTGCAGCGCGGAAAGTCGCGAAGTGCTGTGCAAGCTTGGTCGAACTCCAAATAGGCCTGCATTTCGTGCTCGTGCTGCGTGCTGCCAAAATACTGGAGTACACTTTGCCATTCTTCGTCACAGGGCACGTGCCTGCTTGAAGCCGGGGTTCAATGCGATGGCCTCTTCCAGGGAATTGGCTGCCTGTGCACAGATCCACGCGCACGCCTTGCAAGAAGATCTCCCAGTCTCGGGCCTGTGCTGGCTGGTTTAGCCTTGCCAGACTGAGGCCTTTTAGGAATGGAAGCACCTGAGTCACAGCTGACAGCACATATCCATGGCACCTTGTGCGCGTCCTCTGCGAGAAGCTCGGAGTCTGACTGGGTCCACCTTAGAAGTCTGGAAAGCTGCATGTTCCAGACTCTCTACCGTAGTTGCGTCATTTCAACTCGACGTCCGGTGAGGCAGCAGCTATAGCTGGAACAATCGCAAATGGGCAATGCTTGTTGTTTTACTTGCCTGTCGCATCGATCCTTCGCCCATTCAGAATCACCGACGCACTGGTCAGCCTTCAGTCCAACCTGGTACAGCTTGCAAGGTACCAATGCAATGCTTCTGCGACCGCGAGACGAGTGAGGGGGCGGGCCTTTGCTGCTCAGCTAGTCGCTTCGCTGGTACCTACAGGTGCGGGGCCCACTTTGTAAACTTCTAGATTCTAGACTCAGCGGAAGTCAGGGTGTGCCTGCTTGGCTGCCACTGCCCAGCCCAGGACCGGTCCTCGTCAGGACTCCAGAATGGACTGGATGCAATCCTCATTCGCAAGGACATCTGCTGTCTTGGGCCTGCCATTTCCGCCAGCCGTTGGCTGCCTGCTGCACCAGCAAGCAGAGCAGATTAGCCCTACGCCTGAATAATGACAATCAAGATCATCCGTCCTGCTCGTCGTTGTGCCAGGCCCAGTTCCAGCCCCCTCGCCAGCTGTAGCCATCCGGCCAGTTGTCCCACATCTGGTAGCCTGCAAAGCGGGGTATGGATGAGGATCCCAAAGAACGGAGAGTTGGCCGTTCCGGCCTTGCCACCAGGGGTTCTCGTCGGAGCCTGTCGCATCATGTCCAGGCCTCAAGCAGTGCAGTCAGTGGTTTGAGAAACAAAGCTTACCTGACAATGTAGAAGCATGCAAGTACAGCATACCACTACAGAGTGCGAGCGTGCGAACGTGTTAAACTGGCCGCTGTCTTGCACACGACCAATCTATATCAAGACCTACTGTCATGGCATCGCTTCGGAATCCAACAGTACAAACAGAGAGCTGTTGCTGAGACATGTGTTGCTGGATTCTCTGTGGTGATGTTCATGAGCCGATTGATTGTCGGCTAAAGTCCCCGGTAAGGCTGTCCGGGTCTTTATCCAGGATGCTCAGTTGTTTAATTTGTTGTTCGACCTGTGCCTATGCCTTTACTGGCCATCTGCCGCATACAGAGACATCCTTTGGCTCTCATATTCTCTTTCACTACTGGCCGAAAATGCAGCATCCAACCGCGATCGGGAAACGCAGTCGTGAGTCGTGGGGTGGCCAAAACTTGGATGCCAGTACCTCCCTCGAAGGTTAGAAACCTTGTCCCCTAATCCGCCGAGGCCACCGG